AATGATACAGTATCTACATATAAATGACACATATCCTCCCATGTACTTTAAATCATTTCTAGATTGCTTATAATATCTAATACACTGTAAATGCTATATAAATCATTGTTGCACTGTATCGTATCTTTATTTTCATTATTTTTACAGTTGTATTGCTATTTTTATTGGGGCTTTTTTCAAATATTTTTGATCTCTGATTGATCGAATACTTGGATGCAGAACCCACAGATACAGAGGGGTGACTGTATACGATATTTGAAATGACAAGCAGAAAAGAAACATCAGAACAGATGAATTTTTTTAATTTCTAAAAGAATTCTTTCTTAATTCTATGCAAACTAGGTGAAAGGTTAATTTTCTGAGAAATAAAATTTACCAAATTGACCCCAGTAGAAACAGAAAGTCTAAACATCACAAGGGTCATAGAACAAATAGAGAAAGAAGTTAAAGAATTCCACTACAAAAAAAAAAAAAACCAGGGCAGATGGCTTCACAGGGGAACTCTAACAAAATTTTAAAGATCAGAAAATCCCAATGCTACTTTAATTATTCCAGAAAGCAGAAAAAGAAGGAACACTTCTGGATTCGTTTTATATAATGAGTTTAACATTGTTTCAGATCCCGACTAGAGTTATTACCAACTCTACATCCTCTCCAAAAAAAACCTACAGACCAATCTGAATTCATAAGTAAACATGATAAAATCTAATTTGGTATATTAATAAAGTTAAGAGAGGAAGCTATATGGTCCCTATAGATGCAGAAAGTGAGCATAACTCAATCTACATTCAGGTTAAAAAAAACTTAATAAAATAGAAATTGATAAATGCTTCCTTAATATATTAATACCTCGGCCCAAAAGAATATCTTATTTAATAGGAAAATACTAGAGGCTTTTCTACTAAAATTAAAAACGAGACAAGAACACCTACTCTCTATGCTACATTTAACATTGTGTTGGAAACATTTACCAATGCAATTAGAAAAGAGAAATGAATTAGAGCCATAAAAATTGGATAGGAAAGAAAGGACAAAATTATTTTCTATTTGCAGATCAGGTAATTACATATCTTGAAAATCCGAAAGAGTACATAGAAAAATGACTACAGAAAGAAAATAATTTAGTAAAGTAGGGTAATAAAATTAGTATTCAAAAATCAATAGCCTTCATGTATAAAAATTTCAAAATAGAAGAAGGCTGGGCACAATGGCTCACGCCTGCAATCCTAGCACTCTGGGAAGATGAGGCAGGTGGATTGCTTTAGCTCAGAGATTCCAGACCAGCCTAAGCAACAGGGAGACCCCATCTCTACTAAAAATAGAAAAACTAGCCAAGCACTGCAGTGAGCACCTATAGTCCCAACTACTCAGGAGGCTGAGGCAGGAGAATTGCTTGAACCTAAGATTTTGAGGTTGCTGGGAGCTGTGACTGCCCCACCCCTCTACCCAGGGTGACAAAATGAGACTCTGTCTGAAAAAAAAAAATAAAGGGCAGTGCCTGTGGCTCAAAGGAGTAGGGCACCAGCCCCATATGCCGAATGTGGAGGGTTCAAACCCAGCCCTGGCCAAAAACTGCAAAAAATAAATAAAAATAAATAAATTAAAGTTAACATTAAAAAAATTAAAATAATAAAATAAGATAAAAATAAAATGGAAGAAAAGACGCATCCCAATTATGATGGCAAAAACGATAAAAGAAAATACTAAGCACAAGCTTAACAAGAAATTCTAAAATCTACATAAGAAAACCTAGATAGCACCCCTAGAAAGTCACAAACAGATTCGAGCAATTAAAAAGAAATATCACATCCCTAGACAGTAAAATACACTATCATAAAGATGTCAGTTCTCCCTAAAGTAAGTTACTGTATAAACTTAATGTGATGCTCATAAAAACACTATTAGGCTTTTTCCTGAAGCAATGTAACTTGATTATAAAATTAACTTAGAAGAATGAAAAAGAAAGCCAGGCCAGGCATGGTGACACATGCCTGTAATCCTAGCACTTTGGGAGGCCAAGGTGGAAGGATTGCTTGAGGCCAGAATTTTGTGACTAACCTGGGCAACATAGTGTGACCCCTATCTCTACAAAAAAAAAAAAAAAAAATAGGGAAAAAATTAACCAGGTGTGGTGGCACATGCCTGTAGTCCCAGCTACTCAGGAGGTTGAAGTGGGAGGATTGCTAGAGCCCAGCAGCTCAAGGCTGCAGTGGGCTATGATCATGACACTGTACTCCAGCCTGGGTAACAGAGCAAGATCTCATTAAAGGAAGAAGAAAGAAAGGAAGGGAGGGAGGGACGGGAAAGAAAGAAGTAAGGAAGAAAAGAAGAGAAGAAGGGAGTGAGGGAGAGGAAGGAAGGAAGGAAGGAAGGGAGGGAGGGAGGGAGGGAGGAAGAGAGGGAGGGAAGGAGGGAGGGAGGGGAAGGAGGAAGGGAGGGAGGGACTTGGAAAACAATGTTGAATGGGAAAGGGGAGATCCCAAGAAAATTCTCTACAAAATTTTAGCCTCCAGTAAAAATAGCAGTAATGGTCAGTAATGGTCACACAGAGCAATCATTGGCTCTCTATGAATACGTTATGCCAAGGTAATTTCAATCTCCTGTTTTCTTTTTTAGGGATCTAGACAGGGTATCAAAGGAAAATTGAAGAGTGTATATACATCTCAGCATCTTTTCTTTTCTTTCTTTCTTTCTTTTTTTTTTTTTTTTTTTTTGAGACAGAGTCTCACTTTGTCACCTTCTGCAGAATGCTATGGCATCAGAGCTCACAGCAACCTCAAACTCTTGGGCTTAAGCGATTCTCTTGCCTCAGCCTCCCAAGTAGCTGAACTTACAGGCATCCACCACAATGCCTGGCTATTTTTATTTTTTGGTTGTAGTTGTCATTGTTTGGCAGGCCTGGGCTGAATTTGAACCTGCCAGCTCTGGTGTATGTGGCTGGTGCCCTAGCCACTGAGCTATAGGAGCCCAGCCTACATCTCAGCATCTTAATCTGTTCTAGAACCTGCTAAGGTGCCTGACACATTGTAGACACCCAATAAATGTTTGTTGAAGAAGTAAATAGACAAGGTGATGAAATAGGAAGTAGCACCATAGGATGAATTTGCAGTTAGTAAAACTGTCATATCTAAAATGTATCGGCAGGGCGGTGGCTCATGCTTGTAATCCCAGCACTTGGGAGGCCAAGGCAGGTGGATTGCCTAAATTCACAGGTTTGAGACCAGCCTGAGCCAGAGTGAGACCTGATCTCTAAAAATAGCCAGGCGTTGTTGCAGGCACCTGTAGTCCCAGCTACTTAGAGGCTGAGGCAAGAGAATCGCTTGAACCCAAGAGTTAGAGGTTGCTGGGAGCTATGACACCACAGCACTCTACCGAGGGCGACACAGTAAGACCCTGTTAAAATAAAATAAATAAAACAAAACAAAACAAAATAAAATGTATTGATCAGTGGGTCAAAGCCAACTTGAAACAAGTAATAGAACAGCTTTTCTTCTCAACATCTTTAATTTGGATACTTCACATAGAATTGCATATCATTTGGTAGTTGATGCAAAACTAATGCAAGGGTGGCTAACGTGTTGGATTACAGAATCAATTATAACATTAAGGTGACATTAATAAGATCAAATTTAATAAGATTTGTAGTGAGTTAAATTGTGTGTTCCCAAAAAGACTGTCTTAACCCCAGTAGTGCAAATGTGACCTCATTTGAAAATAGGGTCTTTGTAGATGAAAAAAGTTAAGATGAGGTCACAACTCTATTAGGGTGAAGTTTTAAATAGAATGACTGGGGTGTTTAAAAGAGAAAGGAGAAGGAGATTTGGAGACACAGGCTTTGTGTACAGTAGATGGAGGCAGAGATTAGAGTGATGCAGCTACAAGCCAAGGAACACCAAGGATTGCCAGTAACTACCAGAAGCCAGGGGAGAGGCAAAGAGGGATTCTTCCCTAGAGCTTGAACAAAGAGCATGGTCCTGCCAACACCTTGATTTTAGCCTTCCAACTTCTGGAATTGTGAGAATAAACTTCTGTTGTTTTAAGCCACCTAGTTCGTGGTAATATGTTTCAGCAAATTACCTAGGAAACTATTACAGGGTCAAACAAAGTCCTACATCTTTCAACCGCACAGATAGAGGACAAAGGAAAACAGGCTAACAGCTATTCTTATGGAAAGATCTGGCTGCCATTTTAGATTATTAAAGAGCTAAAAGAACATTTACATTTTGAAACATAGATTCCTGTACTCTGCATTAGAGAGGGTACAATATGAGGTATTGAGTCCTTTTGCAAGTACTACATTTTAAGGAGGACTTGAGGAGCTGGAGTGCATTTTGAAATGGTGAAGTAGGGTAGGCCTAGTGGTTCACACCTATAAACCCAGCACTATTAGAAGCCAAGGTGGGATGAAGATCTCTTGAGACCAAGAGTTCAACACCAGCCTGGGTGACATAGTGTGACTCCATCTCCACAAGAAAATGTAAAAACATCCTTGTGGTCTGTAGTGCTAGCTACTCGAGAGGTGGAGCCCAAGACTTCAAGACTACAGTAAGCTATGCCTGTGCCACTCCACTCCAGCCTGGGCCACAAAAACAAGATCCTGTCTCTAAAAAAAATAAATAAATAAAAATAAAATAAAATGGTGATATAAAAAGAAAAGCAAATGGAAATTTAGTCATGTTATCATTGAACATTTTTGAGCAACAACTCTACATAGTATATGGTAGACATTCTAACATCTAGGAAGAGCTTACTCTATCCCCAAAGAGATAAAGCTGTAATGTAAGTCTAAGGTGATGTGAAATTACTCAAGTGTTTTAAAGAGGAGAATGACATGATTGTTTCTGTGTTTTAGACAGAAATTTCGGGCAGCTACGTAAGAATAGCTTTGACAGAGATAAAAGCAGGCACAGGGAGGTATTAATAAATTAAAAGGTTATTATAATAGAAAGAAGATGAAGTCCCATGATTAAGATTGTGACAGTAAGAACAACAGGAAGTTCTTGCCTCAGTAGCACATATACTAAAACTACTGAAATGATACACAGAAGATTAGCATGACCCCTATGCAAGGATAACATAAAATTCTGCTTTAAAAAAAAAACACTAAATAGGAAAGGAAGTATTTTAAGAACATTTATGAGATAAAACGAGAGAACAAATACAACAATTGTCTTTCAAAGCTATTATTAGAATAAACTAAGCTAATATGTAGTATATACCAAAGTGCCTAGCATACAGAAGGCTCAAACAACAAATGCCTAAACTCTCCTGCCTGGACAGCTTAAGATTCAAATGCATATATCTCTAAAATGCAAAATTCTTTCTGTCTTCCACTTCTGAGACAAGCTCACTTATTTTTAAAATAAAAATAACATTTTATACATAAATATATATGTATATGTGCATAAATACACATGTATACACATCCTTTTAACTTTATTATAGTGCCAGACCAAGTCTCTGAGACCTCTGAAAAGAAATCTTGAAATGCTAAACCCTCCTCCAATTTTAATCTCATATTAAATATTAAATGAGACTCACATGGTAAACTATATGCTGTTTGATAACATTTTTCTTGAGAAGTCCAGAGGAGATAAAAATAAGACAGAAATGGAATACATAGATTGAAAGTAGCCAAAAGTTCTAAATGAAATGGCTGAGTTTTCCACACTGCAGAAAGCTACCTAAAACTATATTTTTGCTTAATAGATTTTTAGGCAGAAAATATTTCATTTCTAACCCAATAGCTGTATTCATTTATGCAGAGCTACCCACATATTTTCAAAAGATAATAAATGCATATGAATTTCCAACATAACAATATGCTGCAAAACAAGATTCCCAATTAAAGCTTATTTATTGTTGAATAATCAATACAAAAACCTTGCACAGGATCCAAGTAAAACCACAGCCTGAATAATCCCTGACTTCAGATGTATTGCCAGTTGACCTCAAAAAAAAATTTTTAAAGTTGGCTGTTGAAATTGCTTACCAATTAGGAATCATAGTTATCGCTGAATACACTAAAAGGAAATTTTAACTGATCAGAAAGAACCAAAATCACCAAGAATGTTCAGGAAAAGTATATAAATATTATAACATTTGATTTAGCAAGTATATCTTAAGTACTTTTGACAACTGTAGCTTTATTTACCTGTAAATCCATTTTAAAAGCATGCATTTTGTGCAACATTCACATTGTATAGAATGCAGAAGTTCACATCAACAAAAATAAAAAAAAAAATCATCAAATTAGTGATATCTAAACACTTGGGTAATCCTTTCTTATCAAAGACATTTCCTCTATCCTCAATCATTTTTGCTTATGTATGCAAGAAACTATTTTCATGCAAATTATGTGCACTAGATAATGAGTTACACACTGGAAACACAGAGATGAACACAAAACAATCTACACACAAAATAAATTAGGTCAATTAACAGAAAACTAATGGTTGAAATATAGTATATGCATACAAGTAGGGCATAGGGGAGGGAGGTAGTGGCCGTCAGGCAGGGCTTCCAAGCTAAATATGGAGCAATACCCAAGCATTAGACAGGCAAAGAAGAGGGCTGTGAAGGGAAAGAAAGCATTTCTGGTGAAAGGAGCATGGGGCACTGGAGGAAGGGAAGAAATAGTCCATTGTAACTAGATCAAAGAGCAGAGATTGAGTTGACAGGCTAGAATCAGCAAAGTTTGGTGATGTGTTGAATAGTCATGGCAAAGACTAAGAGAAGTTCAGAAAGACTCCCAATTTTTGACTTGGGTTAATGGTGCCATTCAGTGTAATGACGAACATAAAAAGAAGTAGCAGTCTGGGACAGGATACAATGAGTCTGCGTTTGTGGTACATACAAGATGCCTGGATAGAGACTGGAGCCTATAGCTCCAAAAACTATCTGGACTAGCAGATTGTACATGGGAGTCATCCACATAGAGGGGATAACCAATATCATGCAAGTAACCACGGTCAAGAGTCTGTGGGATTGAGAAAAAAAAAAAAAAAGGAATAGACAAATCCTATGTAAACCCAGTTTTAAAGGGCAGGAAGAAGACAGCCCTAAGAAAAAATCTGAGTGAGAACAGCCAGAAAAGAAAGAAGAAAATCAGAGTTTAAATTAGGAATGCTGCATCTAGTGTCAAATGATACAGAGAAGTCACATAAAACACAGGCTCTTTTTGCAACTGCTAATATGGCTAATAACTACATGCTAATTTTTGCATGTATGAATAAAGGAAGAATTTCCTCTGTTAAGAAGTTAGCAATGCTGTTCTTCAAAGATTTCTAGATGACCACAGATTGCAGTGTTATTGAAAGAAGTATTTTTCCATTTTAGTAATGTTATCATATAATGTGCAAATAAGAAAGAAAACTGTTTGCTGATTTCTTCAAACATGGCCCTTAAATATACATGGGAGAGGGGCAAGTTCAACTTCAAATCGTAATGTTAATTAGTGATACTCTTAAAAAGTGTTGTCTCTGATATAATTAAAAAGATTTTTAGTTATTGAGATAAAGATCTTAAGTAAGGTAAATGCATTAAAAATAGTATACATTCTCATTTCTTCACTTAGCTATTTTGAGCTTATTCTCAAATTGCTAATAGATTAATTTCCAAATTCGATAAACATTTTGATAGACATTTATATAAGGGATTTATGTTTATCAGCTGCTACATGGTCATCATAATACAAAAGGGGATGGACAAGCAGTTCATGCCCTAGAAATGTTCTGTTTAGGCAATCAGCCAGATGCCCCACACCCAAAATGGGTTAAAGCTGATTATAGGAGAGGAGGCCTAGAGACAAGGAAAGGAGAATACAAACTAGTCCAATAGCCCATATCCCGTTTAAATAATATCATGGCTATTTTTTTTCCTGCTACATTCAGGGAAGCTAGATCCAACTGTATAATTATCTGCATATTGGCAGCAAGCACAAAGTTTCATACGTGATGATGATGATAATAATAATAGCTAACATTTACTAACTCCTCATTACGTGCCAGGATTCTGTGCTAAGCACTTTTCATGGATCACCTCATTTAATCTTCACAACAATCATTACTATTCCCATTTTATAGATGATGCAATAAGGGCTTACAGAAGCGAAGTCAACTTATCCAAGGTCACAGAGCTCACAGGGAGCAGAGCCAGGATTCAAACCCAAGTAGCAATCTGATTCTAGAACCCCAACTCTTAGCATCTGCTGTTACCAAAAACAGAGCTTATTTTGAAAGGGCACACCCAAACTACTCTGATTGTTCAATTTTAACATTTAGAAGACAGAGAAAGTTTGGGGTGGGGAGAATTAGACTGCTCTTTAGAATTCCAAATTTTAAAAAAACTTGTAAATGATTCCTTTTACTGTCTCCAATTCTATATTAGCTACGTAAAATTTTCACTAAAGTAAACTTTGACTATAAGAAAAAAGAAGAATTTGGAGGAAAAAAATTAACTCTTATGCAATCACCTGAAAAATTGCTAAGAAGCTTTTACCTCTTTGTGCTGAGGTAAGAGGCTCTGAGATTGCATCAAAAACATAGAATATTTTAAAACAGGCTTCACACTGTATCTTTTCTAAAACTATCCTCTCTTTCATCACTGTTATATATGTCACAGAAGAAAATACCACTACATAAAAATTAAAATCATTTTCCTATCTCTGCAATATATAACACTTCAAAGGTAAGCCATATAAACTGTTGGGGCTGAAATGCAAGTACATTCTCTTACTTTTTCAAACTATGCCCACCACCCCCTTCCTATACCAGTGAAACCTTTATCAAGAAGCTCCAAGACAAAGAGTAATAGAAATAATATTTTTACATTATATTAAGCCTAATTCTCCCCCCTTGGGTCCTTTGGAAAATGGCATTATGCAGACTCTTGAGTATAGAGGATAAATGAGCTTTCCTGTCCTCTTCTGATTTGGTATCCTTCACATGCAACAGAAGAAAAAACTCCCCTAGCCCTCCATTCTATGTTCCTTTCCCCTTGCTATGTTCCTATGAAATCCAATCATAAAATACCAACAATTTGCAACATCTCTTTATCAAAAAGTATTTATCCTTCACAAACATGGACAATGAAACCTTTCAAGTTTTGCTCAATTTCCAGACATATACTGTATATTAGAGTGTCAATTTCCTTATTTTAGTGCATAGAAGAAAAAAGAGATACCTAACTTACCTTCACTCTAAACAGTCAAAGCCTCCTTATCCTTTTTACAGCCTACTCCTATTTACCTTCTTTGCCCTCCAAAACCAGCAGTACTAAACAAAGATAGCTACTATAGTTATTCTTTACTTTATAGATGGATACTCTGAGGCACAAAACTATTAAGTTAATTGCCCAGCGTCTCACACAAGGGCATGCAAGGCTCAGGTTTACATGTTCTAGTTCCAAATATGGTGTCCTTTCCATCCTCTATAGATAAAATTGTTTTGCAAACAAGTCCAGCCCTACATAACCAAGTTCACATCTAGATTTTATTCACCCTGGTATTCACTGCCCAGGAAAGAGACAAGACAAAGCATCGATGCATCTCAAAATATAACAAGAGAGAACACAGGAAGAAGATAGTAACACTCATTGGTTTTAACCTGAAATTACTGATGTATTATATAACTATAAAATCAAACGACAAGTGGTATCTTTTCTTCAACAATCATACTATAGTAAAAACCATTTGATTTTATCATAATGTCAGGGTGTAACATCCTCAACTGAGAAGTTCCACACTGATTTCAACTATATTATCATTACTCAAAACATAAAACATCCAATTTTTTGAGACTCTGTGTAGAAGCAAATTTTAAGGGTAGATTTAAATTTTGGAAACATGCAAAAAAACACCAAGAGAGCTTTCTAACTATTTAGATGAGATGGACTATTTAAGTGGGAAATACGTACCAGTAGCACAGCCAGCATTTATTGAGTGCATTCTATGTGCGGGGCTCACTACCAAATATTTTCATGTATATTCTGACATTTATAATCACAACAGCCCCATCAGCATCATTAACCCAGGTTTACAGATGAGGAAATAAAGTTCAGAGAGGTCACTTATCTTGCTCAAGGTCAAACAGTGGCAAAACTTGGAT